AGGCGATCTGTTTCGATGCCGGTGAAAACATGGTAAGCTGTCCTGTGACATGACTTTCCATTTTCGAGGAAAAGTTGGTTGTAAGGAAGTTGTGAAATGGTCGCGTAGCAAACCGAAGGAAAAGTGACTTCTGCGGAGTGAAGACTGTTGGATTGCGCGGAGAAACTCTTACCGCTCTGATGAGCATGTGCAAAATTTCGTTTAGATCATCGTGTCTGAAGTCTTTAGAACAAGAATGCACATTTTATGCAATTTTACTACTAAACCGAGATAAAAGTGGCTATTTGCGAGCCCAGTCACCGATTTATGCCTTTGTCGAGAATTTTCGTGAATTAATCTCGACATGCTCTGCGTCGCCGATGAACCCGAGTTGCGCTTTCGTGTAGGCCCCGGTGACAAACATCGTCAGGACAAGTAATCCAACTTTGCGAGATAGCACACGAATATGGAAAACCGAGAAAATGGGTATATTGTTGCGCTTTTTTGCAAAGTAACATCTCTCGTTTTGACGATGTCCATCACGGCGGAAGAGACGAAAGCTCAACACGGGTTCAGCTTCACTTCTTCCTTCGGTTTCGGGTGAGGCCAATTCACGCAGTTTCTTACAAAGTTGTCTGCTCCAAAATGAAAGGTGATGCCACAATAGATCGTTGCACGAAGAAAATCTCCTCTCGAAGATGCACTTGGGCATTTCGTGTGACGACTTTTTATTTTAAAGCAAAAGTTGCTCGAAATGAATTCGTCAATTAGACTCATAGAAAAAACTAGCTGAGGAGTGTTGAGCCCACTTCCAGATCGAGTAAAAGTGTACATACATACATATGTACATATAAATAAATATATAAATAAATATGTATATATTGTATATATTGTATTTAGAGCCAAACCTGTAAATTTTCCTAGTTCGGTCGCGCTCTCAGGGCTTTTTCGTCACCAAAGAATGGACTTCACTTGTTCCTTTGATAAGTTGAAGCTCAGTGTTAAGGGAAGCGACTTAAAGCTGAAAATTGTCATGACAACTATTGGAGGGGAAGCCGGACCATTTTTACTGCTCCGAGGTTCGCCTGAAGAACTCCAAAAGGTAGTCTGACAAGTTTCGTTCAACGAAAAGAGCCAGAATAGACTCCTTTGGCTTCGGATGAGCGATCATAGAATTCTATTTAATCTGAGTGTGGGTGGTAGATAATTATAAGTTTTGTCTAACGACCACAAAAATTGTGATACAGGTCAAAACTCTGGACAATTTTATTATTTATTGCGAAAAACTTGTTTTTTTTTCTTTATCTTGTATAACAAAATTTCCCCATTGTGATGACTTGAGAGCTCCCAAAATTTTATTTAAAACTAATTTAAACATGTACTTTGTACTGCCTTTCTGCAAGTAGGCATTTGGATGGAGACTAAATAATTTTCTAGTCTATCATTAATTATTAAGTAGGAACTTAATCAATCTCGATATGACTAGTTTTTGAGAGTATCAGTAATTCTTAAATAATAAATTAGTATCTTAAGGTAGCTTAAGGCGCTTAAAGTCTGATGCCATTGAATTTCGCTTAGCTTCACCTACCAAAAGCCTATCTCATAATAACTGGACTGCGAGCTTCGGTGGTTCACAGAGCAGATACAACATTCACAATCGCATTCATATTAGGAATACCGAGTAGGCAAATGCGTTTGCCAGTGAAATTGATAATACTACTATATAAAATATAAGTAGTCTTCGATAGCATTAGCTTAGGTCTCTTAAATTGATTTAAATATGGTTAGTTGAGTTATTTCCTATTCTCGATGTGACTAAATATTACTTTGCCTTGCCTCACAATAGTTTTTCTCATCAAAACGGACCAAAAAGTTCCCATTCAAGCATTGCCCCTGATCTGCTGTCCTTTGCTTCGTGGTTCCCGTAAAGGTTGGCATAATCCTTCGCTTCGCTTAAATCCTTTTAATCATTCGTTTAGAGCTTCGCTTTGGTACGTCGCTTGGCAGTTTTCGAAGGCAAGTGATGCTGGCAACAGACCTCGAGGTTCGTGCTCGCCACCTTCACCGCCCAGACTCATGCTGCCTCACTTTCCGGTTCATTTGCGAGTGTGTGTGCTAATGCGTCTGGGGCGCAGATTCTAAGTTGGATCTCACCAAACAATTATGGTGTAGTAAAGATGTCTCCGAGACAGACCTCCCCGATTTCGATGCAAACATGCTAGGTTATTATTTGTTCAACATTCTCTTGTCAGTCACGATCTTGCCTATCCTTACACACACGCACACACACACACACACACAAACTAGAACTAGATTTGCATCTGGCATTAGGCAATCGGAAGGATAAATAGACAAAAAAGTCATTAAAATGTGACTACCGAGGAGAGATATTTCGTTTTGTTCAGATTCCTCAAAGCTATCAATGTTGGTTTCCTATCCTTACGCATACATGAACGCACACACTCACATGCCTCTGGAATGACATGTGAATTCAATTAAACAAATCGCAAAAAATATCGCATACAATAGCTGGTGGTTGGACTATGCATTTAGTAGGCAGGAATAAACTGGTTGGAATTAATGATACTCTGTTCGGAAGAAGTCGGACGACAGAAAAAGCCTCTATGACAGCTCAGGCGGCCAAGACTGTTTGGTGAATATTCCCATGATCAGAATATCATAACTCATCATACAATTTCATCCTGGATGGACTGCATTTTCGACCTCGCAAGGCAAGACAGTCCCAATCCAATTTGCAGTTATAGTGGGTTTGTCGAATACTAATAAATATATGGGCCTTCTATTTAATCAGCGACGTTACTTATTTTCGAGGCAAGTAGTATGTGAAGCGATCAAGGAGGCAAATGCAGGAACTTACAGCAAAAAACAAATAACATAGTAGATCACAAAAGCAAACAAATGTTTGCTTAACCAACAGGTCCAGCATAAACGTGATTTAGATCAGGTTTGGCTTTGCTTAAATGTCACATTCGCTAGAAACTCATCTTGTATTTGTACATTTTAATAAATTTTTCAAAAAAGATGGTGCAGGTATAATGACAGTTTTTGGTCAATCACGAAGAGACTTCACACCGAGCTGTAATCACAGTTTCATTCGTGACGCAAGAGTTGAATCGGCTATCCTTTATCACCCATTTGAGGCCATTTAGACTGGTCTTAGGCCTTGTCTGGGCTACAATTTAGAAGCGGGATGAAGGACCGAGTTGCATTTTGACACGGCTACAAGCAGGTCTGTACTGACCGCGGACAAAGGACAGACCAAGGGCTTGGCAGAAGGCTCCCATTGGATAAATTGAGTAGATGGTGAATCGCATGAAATAAAGATAAATGCGGAAGACGAAGCGACCAACCTCTGCCGCTTCCGCGGCTCCACTCTTTCCACAATCCTGCCATACAATCCGGGAACAAAGACCAAACTGCTTTTTGGAAGATCCCACCAAGTGAGTGTTCAGGCGACGGCCAATTAGAGTGAATATATGAAATGTGCCCATCCTATTTCGTTTAAGGGGATGGAATTGCATTCGCCCACAATCTGAAGAGTATACCTTACGGTTTCATTCAATGTCACATAGCTTTGCTTCCCAGAAGGGGCTCTCGCTCATGGTGGACTGCGTTATCGAAGCACTACTTACAAACGGAAATAAGTAATGTCGTCTATTGTTATAGTAAAAGTAAGATTGCTTCGTCGACAATCGCAACACAGAATGTTGATTGGGGAATGTCTGATCTCGGTTGCAATCCGCATCTGTCCTGTCGTGGAAACGTCAGCTCAACTCATCTCATTTGTGGGAAAATTCTACTTCTACCAGTCCTTCATCACCTTAAACTAAAA